TGCCATTTTATCTGGGAGACCATCACAATGCCAGGTTCAGATTCGTAAGAGCCAGTGGAGACTCATTCCGTGTTCAGCACATCAGTTTGTACTGGGAACCCTGTTTGTGGTTTGGCATACAATCCCGGATCAGAGGCAGGGATCACCACACTCCCAGGTCTCAGGGATCAGAGGGAGTACTTGCACTTTGTATCCTGGGCAACATCAATGCTATAGGAAAAATTTAGAAGTGTGAATTGAGAGTCATTTTGCTTTTGGTAAAGAGCCCTTCTTAAACCAGGCACTAAATTCAAAATCATAAAATCTAATGACTTGGAGGTAGGCCTTTGAGACCGAGGACATTGTAGCCCAACCCTCTCATTATACAGAGGAGGAAACCGAAGCCAGGGCAGGTGCATCAACTTTCACGTGGCCTCTCTGTGAGCTAAAGCTGAATCGAAGGTAGAATCCAGATTTCTTAACTTTCTATTTTTTTAAATAATTTTTTTAAAGATTTTATTTGAGATAGAACAAGAGAGAGAGAGAGAGAGAGCACAAGCAGGGCAGAGGGGCAGAGGGAGAGGGAGAAGCAGGGAGCCTGATGCAGGACTCAATCCCAGGACCCTGGAATCGTGACCTGGGCTGAAGACAGGCTCTTAACAACTGAGCCACCCAGGCGCCCTCTTAACTCCATATTACCTCCAGGTGTATTTGCTGTCAGGGGTGAGATTAGTACTCTGCCCCTCCTCCACCAAGGTGATTCATAAGGTGGGCAGTAGTAAATGTAGATAAGGGTGATACAACCGGTGAAGCATAATTATCTCCAGACCTAGCACTAGAAGCACATGACCCTTCCTCAAGGTTGTGCCTTTAGCTTGCACAGTCTTCTTGCCACTCACCCGATCGCTAACATGTGCTGGGAATTCTATACGCTCTCTTAATAACTCTTTCAATCCTCCAAGCGACTCTGTGAGAAAGCAGCCGGCCTTATTCCCGGTTTACAGAGAAGCTGAGGTACAGAGAGTAGTTAATCCTGTGGCTCAAGGGCAAATGGCTCCTTAAATGGCAAAGTGGGGCCTCCTACCTGGACATTCTGGCTCCAGAGTCTATGTTCCCCCACCCCAGTGTGGCTTCCCTCCCCTGCCCTCCTGCATTTCGGGCAGGCCCCACCCTTCAGAGAAGGAAGGGCCCCACTTTCCTCATACCCTTTGGGTGTTGAGTTGATTTAGTAAAAATCAGGAATTGACACGTGTGTCCACTGTGTGCCTCTGTGGACCCAGATGTTTAAAAAACTCATAGGTCTCGCAGAGGGAGGTCTATAGGTGAGTCCCAGGTGAAGAATTCAGACCCAGGCTGGGCCTTCCAGAGCTTTTGAAGGCCATGAAATTCCCTCTGGCCATTTCTTCTCATTCTTGAGAACGCCTTCTTTTTAATCCAGGACTGTTGGGCTAAGGTAACTCACCAGGGCTCTCATTTTCTATTAATAGGACAAAACACTTTTTTTTTAAAAAAAGTATTTTGAAGTCATTATAACCTCACAGGAAGTTGCAACAACAGTAAAAAGGCCGTGCACTCTTCACCGGGGAAAGGCATTCTTCGAAACAAGTGGAACTGAGTTTCCTAATGGAATGAGGATAATGGTGACGCTTTAGGTCCTTCTGAACCATTAGTGATCATTCCCCACATCTGCCACAGACAAGCAATGATTACTGTTTTCAAATACAGAAGGCAAATTCAAAGGCCATGTTTTTGGCAACTGAAAATCATAGGACTTGAACCAGGAATTTTTGGCTTTTTAAAAATGTGACAAAAAGACTACTTCTCTTTCTTTGTCTGGGTTGTTAGAGTTTAACTCTTCCATAAACCCTCGGACACGACATCGCCTGGAGGTGTCCGGTGAGGCGGTTTGCTGGATATAAAACAGGGAGACGTGAGCTCCTTCACGCTGAGCAGCTGCTGTGGTTGTTGGCAGTGCTGGTCACCTGAACTCTGGGGACTTCTAGATTCTGCACCGTCTTCACCACTCTTAGATCCCACGTCCCTTCATTTATCTGCTTCTTCTCTTCCAGGAATAGTAACAGTAGCTCCTCCTTAGTCTTTCCTTTTCTGGGTATTGTTCATGTTCTTTGAAAACCTGAGAAAGGTGCCACAGAGGTTGTCGAAAGCTGAGACTCCGTAGTGGCGGGATCAGACAAGTCAGTGGAATCCGGACAAACATGCTCCACTTCTGTTAGCCCAGCCCAGAGGGCAGAACCAGGCATGGACCCAGGCCCTATTATCCTGAACAGAATGTCAGGCACAGACCATATGGCAGCCCCAGCAGGTCATCTGGTAGAATAAGCCAGTGTTCCAAAGGCAGGCTGAGTCCTTTGGCATCTCAGTCACGCCTTGGAACCCTGAGCTCTTCCTTTGTCTAGAATGGTTCCTTTCCTGGAGGCCCGCGGGGAGCAGCCGGGCCTGGCTGGGGCTCCGGGTACGCAAGCTAACAAAAGAAGAGGCTTTTAATTTCTCTTGTCACCAAGTTACCCTGGGAAGCCCTGCAGTCCTCCCTGAAAAAAAGACACGATCTGTGTTCGTATCTGCCACGATAATCTTCTGCTATCTAATTTTCTTTTTTCTTTTTCAACTGTAGAAGGTCCCTATATTTTGTGTTTTCGCAAAGCTAGTCCTCCTCTTGATCTCTTAAGAAGTTGATGTGTTTGTCATCTGCGTGGATCCTCTTGGCTTAGGTACGGGGCTCATCTTCCCACTCTTCTCTTGTGTTATTTTCACATTAAATGAAGATTGTTCCTAGGACAATTTACCTTTAACATGTTACCCAGTTTGAGTCCGGATGGACCAGCAAAACTTGTAGACAAGTTGTCACTAGAATTCGGCTCCCTGGAGCCGTGGTTCTTCTCAGAGGTCAAATTCTGAGATCCCTGTTTCTGATTTGCTTAAGATTTGGCAAAGACAGGTTAGATCCTGTTTTATGTCCCTTCCTGCTCAGTTCCTTTTAAGTTCAGTTCCCTTTTGAATTATTAATATTTGACCAGAAGCATTACTGATGTTGATATCGGTGTGCTTTGCTTTAAAAAAAAATTTGACTTAAACTGAAAACCTTACATAAGAGCTGCTTTAATTTTCAGAAAACTTTCAAAAGAGCCAGCTTTCCTCATGCATGTAAAATGAAATGAAAATAAACAAAATCGACCCAACTTTGGGGAAGACCTTGATTATAAAGGCAAAGCATTAATAAAGAACACAACAGGCTTCCATACCCTACGGCGTGCCTGCGTCTCCCTTCTGGGGCATCTACTGCCACCTTCCTTTTTTCTTCTATCAGAATCTAGCCCAAAAGAAAGATCTTATAAAGCGATTCATACTGATTTCTGGCTTGATTATGCTTTAGCACTACTTAACTTTTTAACTGGAAAAAAGGCTATCGGCCAAAATAAAGAATTCCCTGTTGCAGGATCTCTGCCTAATGACTGGCTGATTTTTATTTTATTTTTGTTTGTTAGGTAGTGGGGAGTCAAGTAGGCTTCTTGCCAGTCCCATAGACCCTGTTCTTTAATCTCAGGAAGAGTTCTGCTTTCCTCTCCTTTGTTCTGGGAAAGCTGCAAAATGAACAGGAATTCCAGGAGGTTGTGACAGAAATCACTTACTCCTTTGGCCCGTGTTACCCATCACTCCTGGATGAAAGAGCAATTTGTTAATGATGGGTAAGTGTGGAAAGAGGCATCTGTTGCCATTTGTAAAGAACCTCTTGGTTTTGCAGCACCCGGAAACTTACGAACTGGGGGCTAATGAGGATTGTGTGCCAACGTCATAGGAAAACAATTGTAGTCTCAAGACTGTAGGTGTTTGGGGGAAATGGTAGCAACAGGTTCATGTGGCACCTGTGCCATAGCCAAGTCCCAACATGTGTACAACCTCTTTCATATACCTACTTCTTCCTATATTCATTAAATACTGGCTGAAGATCTCCTGGTCCCAGTCCCCTGTGCCTGATGCTGGGATAGAGGATGACTAAGATCTACTCTTTCTTTCAAGCACCCCACTTTAATAGAGAAAATGTGAAAATAAGTAATTACTATGATATGATAAGTTCCGTAATAGAAGAATTTACATGGTAGTACAGTATGATTAGCCATCCTTAGGAGAGCAGTGTGGCCAGAAGAGAGGAATTTGGGGTTGAGGGGAGGAATAGAAAAGAGGCAAAGGCCAGGGACATTTTGAGTGAATAAATAGTTTCCAAGAAGGGTGTTTCAGAGAGAATAGCGTTTGCAGGAGACACTGCTTTGGGATCCAAGTGGAGAAGTATTGGTAGATGAAACAGAATCTGGCAAGAATCAGATTGTGGAGAACCTTGTAAATCTTGAAAATGAATTTGTATTTTAGCATCAGGCCTTTAGGAACCATTGAATTGTTTTTAGACAAGAAAGTAAAAACGAGGGACGCCTGGGTGGCTCAGTTGGTTAAGCAGCTGCCTTCGGCTCAGGTCATGATCCCAGCGTCCTGGGATCGAGTCCCACATCGGGCTCCTTGCTCATCAGGGAGCCTGCTTCTCCCTCTGCCTCTGCCTGCCATTCTGTCTGCCTGTGCTTGCTCTCTCTCCCTCTCTCTCTCTCTCTGACAAATAAATAAATAAAATCTTAAAAAAAAAAAAAAAAAAAAAGAAAGTAAAAACGATACTGTTTGTGCTTTGGAAATATCATTCTAGGGGCTTTTGCAAAATGAACTTAAGTCTACAAGAACAAAAAACAGTTAAGAATGTGTTCTAGAGCAATAAAGGGAAAAATAAATAGGGTGTGCTGACAAATTGGAGAAAATGATAGAGAGGGAGAAATCTAGGATGACTCTCAGGTGTAAGGCTTGAATGAGTAGGATATTAAAAATATCAGTAATGACAACAACAATAATAGTAGTTGTAATTATTGGACCCTTACCAGGTGCAAAGGGTTTGGTTACATGTGTTATGTAGATTATTTCACTGAATCATTGTAATGATGTAAGTGCTGTAATTATCCTCATTTTAGGTGAGAAAACTTGCAACTTTGAGAGATGAAGTAATATATCCAAGGTCACATGGTTGGTAAGTGAGAGTGCATGAATTTGAACACAGGCACATTGAGCCCAGAGCCCATGCTCTGAAGGGGATTTTGTAGGAGGACAAGTCAAGGCAAAGTATATGAAGTTCAGGTTTGCACCTTCTCAATTTAAAGTGCTTGTATTTTACTGAGGTCAAAATATCTGGCAGAGACTTGGACAGCTGGTCCTGCAGGTGGGCATATGGATTTGGCATTCATCAATTAATTGGTATTAATGAAAAAGCTGGGTGTAGCGTGGATGAATCTCCAAAGAGCCAAGTGGAACCATGAAGAATCACATCTGAGAGTGATTGTGTTGGGACAAGTTGGAGAAGTTTGCTGAGGAAGAGTAGCTAGACAAGTAAGGGGATTACTATGAAAGCCAGAAGTGACAGTAAGACTTGAGGAGGGACCAACATGCTTAAACAGCTTGGGGCAATGAAAGATTTAGAATGAGGGTTGAGTTGGGTTTGGCGATTTGGTGGTTGATGGGCAAGGGTTGAAGTTAGACTGAAGTGGGTTAAAAATGTAATAAAGAGTGAGAAAATGGAGACAAGGGGCTCAGACGTCTCTTAAGAGAAACTCGGTGGAAGAGGTGAGAGGGAGCTAACACAGGAAATCTTGGGAACAGGGGAAATACTGTGTGTCTGTGATGGGAGTCACTTGAGACGCTCACATATTGAGGTGAAAGAACCTGTGGAGCAAAGGGGGTTACACTAGGATGTTTGTCTGAGTAGGTAGGAGCAGCTGCCCCTCTCTCCTCCAGCCCCCAGAAGATCATGGACTCTTAGGGGAAGAGGTGTTCCTACATGTCCAGCCCACTGCCCACCCCCACTTTTATTACATGAACTCAAGCCAGAGACTTATTGGGGATCACACAGCAAGTCTGTGTTCCTAAATATCCTGGTTCCTGATGCCTTTCCTCTCCTGCTGCCAGTGCCAGTGGGAGAAGAATCCCTGATGTGTTCTTTATTCCAAGGCCCCAGGTCCCCACAAGGGTTCTTCTCTGCACCTTGAAGATGCACATCCTTCCAGATTCTGATGTCTCAGCAGGAACTCAGCTGTGTGGAGGGTGAGTCAGAGAGCTGATTCATCATTTCCTTGACAAGCCACTGGGCAGTGTTTTAGGTAGTTGATTATAAAGTGTCATTAACATGACAATGCTCAAAGCCTTTTCCTCTACCTTCGTACCCAAGTTCCCAGAAGGCAGAAGGGTCTCAGATTCAAGGGCCTTTCAGCCATCTCTTCCTGGCCCAGAATTAGGAAAGGATATGTTTGTTCATACATGGTACCTGGTCCCCAAGCCCATGTGAAGGAGAGGATTAGGTGGGTGTGGGTAAGGTAGCACTAGAGATTCCATAAACAAGACAGTTGGTGCTCTTCCAAGAGATCCCATTGGTCAGGAGTCACTTGGTGAGCCTGGATGCAGGGAGCTACCAGCTCCTCAGAAGGGCCCAGAATACCCACCTCAACTCTGCTTAAAGATCTTCTGGAACTACTAGTGGTTCATCTTCTCTTCCTCTCATCTTCTTATATTTAAAAGGCTATGATGTCAACCTGGTTGTCATATCATTCTGATTAAATACTAATGTTGAGCAGTTATTAAAACCTACAGCCCTACACAGAACATACTGCCCAGAATCCAGACATATAAATGTTATATAAACATGAACCTTTTGTAATTGACCTTCAATTACAACCTTCTGAGTCTTGGTAGGTTCCAAAGAATAACAATTAACTTGCTTCTCTCTGGTCTTTTTCAACCTACCTAAACCCATTGCTCCCTTTCCATTCTGTCCTGTGGGGCTGTTAGGCAGCAGACCTATAATTCCTGTAAATCCAGGAGCCATCATTCGCTCTTTCTCATGGACTACATTGTGAATAGTGTCCCCTGGAAGTTCATAGACTATAGAATGAATTGTTCCCCTTACAGTACAGCTCTGGTTCCATCCCATTCTTTCCTTTAGTTCACAGCATACTCAACTAAAAGAATGCTATTTGGGAGTAGAACCTAGAGTTCCCTGGGTCTGCTGCCTTTTGTTATAGTTGTTTATTTAATTAACAGTATTAAATAAATTTAGATTAGACAGGATTCTGAAAGGCTAATCTTGCCCTGAGAGATTCAGTAGAGTTTGTGGTGATTCAAGGCCCCATGATTAATTTTGTTTCGTCCTTCATTTGCTGTTCATTTGCAGTTGTCTCAAGTACAGACAACTGTGAGACATGTTTATCCCAAGGCACTGAGAAGAAGCTTCCCTAGGCTCTAAAAAATATTAGAAAGATTTAACTAGGCCAAGGATGGGGAGGCAAGAAGGGACATCCAGAGTGAAAGTAGGAACAAAGGCTTGATGCAAGTAGGTGGAATGACACAGTCCATGGCCAGACACGGGGCCAGGGTGGTAGAAGCACAAGTAAAGAAGGAGACAGTCTCAAATAAAACTGGAGACAGAGACAGGACTCAGAACACGGGAAGTCTTAATGGCCCCATTGCAAAGATCATGGCTTTCTCCAAAGAGTAATAGAAAGTTACTGGAGGATTGTGAGATTGTATGATAAACTTTATATTCTGAAAGATAATGCTTATTGCATTTAGACATGATTGAAAGACAAACAGGGGGTAGGCAGAATAGGTAAGAGGTCAAAAGAATGCCATATAAAGGAAGGCAGGGAATGGTGGTGTTTTAAAAAGCTGTGAACATAGCTGTCAACTATGTCTAAAGGTACTGGGTAATTATATGAGGGCTGGAAGCATCCATTGCATTTAGCTACCTACAGGTCATCATGTCTTTACTGAAAGGTGTTATTAAGAGAGAAGCTAGAACAGAGGAAGTAGAAGAATGAGTGGGAGGTGAAGAAATGACAGCAGTGAGAATATAGAACTTTAAGTATCTGTGAATGGAAGGAAAGAGGTAGGTGGTAGCTAGAGAAGGATCTGGGGTCACAGGAGCTTTTTCTTTTTTCTTTTTTCTTTCTTTCTTCCTCTCTCTCTCTCTCTCTCTCTCTCTTTTTTTTTTTTTTTTTTTTTTTGAGATGAGAAGAGAAGCCTAGACAAGTTAAGTGCTAATGGATAGTATTTAATAATAAAAAATTAAGAGACTATATTAGAGAGAGAGAAAAACATATCCTATGTTTTTCTCTTCTAGGAAAGAGAGAAAGGGTTGGGTTTAAAGCACATGGAGAAGACTTGGGGGATGAAAACTTCTCTTAAAACAGGACAGAAGGAAGAAACACTAGATGAAGAGGCAATGAGTCTGACTGGTAATGGGAAGGGGAGGGAGGAAGTTCCTATCTCATGACTTTTACTTTCTGAGTGAAGTACCTATGGGGCAGCAGGGAGGAATGTAGTGGAGTGAGGAGAAGGCCCAGCTGAAGGCTTTGAAGAGAATAGGAAAATTTAAACTTACTCGTTTGGGGAGTGGGCAAACCTGGTAGAGAAACAGTATCCCCACAGATTATAGTGCTACCATAGTCAGTGCCCAAGAATTCTGTGATGTAACTACCACATTGTCCCAGAGTGTGGGTGTCTTTACTGGGGCTCAACTGCTCTGGGGCAGGTATAGAAGGTGAAGTGTTGAGTCCATCCAAGAACTTTATAAGAAAGGCTGATAAGGATACAAAAGATGAAGGAGTCTCAAATATGGGCTAAAATGTTATTGCAATGATTGACTATTGACTGTTACATCTAAGATGGATAAAGTGATATGTCAAGATTGAGGAAGCCTAATGAATTGGAAGAAATGAGACCAGTTAAGAGACTGATGGCCCTGATGAGAAGGAACAGTCATGGTGTAAATAGTCAGACAAGCAAACTGGAAGGACAAGAGATTGAGAGCAAAGCATGCAGTCCTTGACTTTATGAGTTTTGAGGTAAAGAAGCTAAAGCTGATGACAAGTGCCAAAATGGAACCAAAGACTGGGTCTACTGAAGTCTTTGAAAAGTTGGGGCACCTGGGTGGCTCAGTGGGTTAAAGCTTCTGCCTTCGGCTCAGGTCATGATCCCAGGGTCTTGGGATTAAGCCCCGCATCCGGCTCTCTGCTCAGCGGGGAGCCTGCTTCCCCCCCTCTCTCTCAGCCTGCCTCTCTGCCTACTTGTGATCTCTCTCTGTCAAATAAATAAATAAAACTTAAAAAAAAAAAAGTCTTTCTTAGAGAAAATGACTAGGATATTATCAGCTAAAAAGGAGGAGGAGAGGTAGGACCTCAAATAGGAAGATTTATTTTGAAGAGCATGAAGTTCCAAGATCTGGAGGAGTAATTGGGAAAGTGGGAGAAATCAATGCCACTTTCAGATCCTGAGGTATATGCCATAGGAGAGTCTAAACAGCTCCTCTTCTAGAAGTGGCATCCCCAGAAGATAGCCAGAGCTTTAAAATCAGCATGGTATCTTTCTGGGTTCTTTGTACTGGGGATAAAGGAGGCCTATTCAACTTCTGAATTCTCATTTCCTTTGCACTAATATAATTTTCAAGGAGAAAAAGGCTCTATACCAATTTATTTATCTGGGATTCATTAATTTTGTATTTGGCCACTATTCTATAACTATTAAAAGAACTTCCATTAACAAACCCTATACATTATCCTGCTTAAAGAACTCCCTTTCAGTATTTCTTTTAGTCTGATTTGCTGACAACAAATCTCTTGGCTTTTATCTGTCTAAAATGTCTTTATTTTGCCTTCATTTTTGAAGAATATTTTCACTGGTAATAGAACTCTTGCCTAAGAATTTACTTTTTTTCAGCACTTTAAAAATGTCATTCTATGGTCTATTGGATTCCATCATTTCTATTCATAAGTCAGCTGTCAGTATTATCCTTGCTTCTTTGAAGGTGAAATACCTTTTAGCTTTTAACATATTTTTTTCCTTTGTGTTCAGCATCTTGACTATGATGTGTTTAAGCATGTTTTTCTTTGTATTTAAAAGTTATAGTTTCATGAATGTGAGACTTATGGTTTTTGGCTAGTTTTGGAAAAGAATACCGCCATTATCTTATCAAATGTTGCTTCCATCCACATCTCTCTCTCTCTCTCCACTCACCAGCACTCCGATGTTAGGTGTTTTTGTAAGATCCTATGTGTCTCTTACTCTCTTGTCTGTTTTTCCCAACATCTTTGCTCTCCATGCTTCTGTTTGATATTTTCTATTAGCCCATTTTTCTGGTTCACTAATCTTCTCTTCAGCTATAAGAAATACATTGCTAAATACATCTATTACAATGCTTTAATGATTGTGCTTTTTTTGTTGTAAAATTTCCATTTAATTCCTTATTAATAGAGTCTAGTTCTCTGGTGAAATTCTTCATTTTGTCACCTTTTTTTCTTGGACAAAATAAATAATTATTTTTTTAAATTGATACCTCATAATTCTAAAATCTGGCTTACCTATGGGCCTATTTCTGTTGCCTTCCTTTCTCTCTTAGTCTTAGTTCTTGGAACATCTAGAAATTTCCATTAAGCATTTTGTATTAAGAAACTGGCATCTCCAGATAATACGATTTTCCTCTAGAGAGGACTCACCTTGCATTTTATTCAAGGAGCTAGAGTGGGAGGAGATTACATCTATTCAATCCAAGACTTAGTTTTTTGGAGACCAAGTTGGCGTTTTATACAATTTGGTCTACCTTGTGTTTGCTCCCTCTCTTTAGGGTATAGACCCTCAGGGCTCCAAAAGAAAGCCTGTAGATAGTTATTGGGACTCCTTCATGGTGGGTTGTAAACTCGATACTGCTAAAAATCTGGCTTTTCTTTATAGCTACACTCTCATCTTTAGGTAGCTTATGAATTAGCAAATCCTGGGGCACCTGGTGGCTCAGTTGTTTAAGTGTCCAACTCTTGTTAGCTCAGGTCATGATCTAGAGTCTTGAGATCAAGCCCCGCATCAGGTTCTGTGCTCAGCGGAGAATCTGCTTGAAGAGTCTCTCCCTCTGGCCCTCCCCCCACTCCCTGTCTTTCTCTCAAATTAAAAAAAAAAAAAAGTAAATATTGAAAAAAAAAAAGAATTAGCAAATCCCATAATATGAAATCAAGTGCCAAGTGTGGAGCTCATTTCCTGGCACCCTCCCTTCTCTCAAGAATACTGTCACTCAAACCCTTGCTATCTTGGCAGCTCTGAACTGCTTTTAAGAACTTCCCTCATTATATTTAGGTTTTAACATCAGATATATGTGGGAGATGCCTATATATAATACCAAAAAATGACAAATTTTACTTACTCAGTTTCCCCCCTTCTCTGGCTGAAAGGGAAAAAAATCTCATTTAGGCACAATCTTTATGATACCCTTACACATGAGGAAGGTGGTTTCCTCCTCCTCAGAAGCATCTATGTCTGTGACACTGGATCTTTTTTTTTTAATTTTTTTCAGATTTTATTTATTCAATTGTCAGAGAGAGACACAGCAAGAGAGGGAACACAAGCACGGGGGAGCTGGAGATGGAGAAGCAGGCTTCCCGCTAAGCAGGGAGCCCGATGCGGGGCTGGGATTCCCAGGACCCTGGGATCATGACCTGAGCCACAGGCAGACACTTAATGACTGAGCCACCAAGGGGCCCCTGTGAAACTGTATCTTAATCCTCTAAGAACACCCCTATCATTGTTAAGATGGTATTCATAAATGGTTTTGTGAATGGTTGTACATGATAAAATAGTAATAAACATTTCTTTCCCTTTCTGGGGTCATTTTTGCCCAATAAGATGTAACAATAATAGTCATAATAATACCCACTAAAATTTACTAGGCATTTACTACGGGCCAGTCTCTATGTTAGATGTTTTAGATAGGTTGTCTCATTTAATCCTCAGAAGAGCCTAGGAGGTGATAATGGCAATTTTCCTAATTTACACTTAAGGAAACTAAGGCTTTAAGAGATTAAGTCTTAAATAAGGCCCCAGAGCCAGGAAGTAAATGGCACAAGCAAGTTTGAAACAGACTTTTCAAACCCCAAGGTCTATATTCTCTTCCATCATTCTGTCTTACCTCTTCACTTGTTCTGAAGGAGAACATAACTATTCTCACATAACAGCATAACTAGTCTCACAATTTTACTGAGTCCTGGAATTCTGAGATATTTCCTTAAATAAGGTAAAAGCCAGATAGTCTGAGGGGTTTATATGCAAATAAATCTCCCTGGTTCATTTCTCACAGGTATTTCTAGATCCTTCCCTTCCCGACTCAGTCTTACTTTGATATATATTTTACATTAACTACTTCCATTTATAATTTCTATGGCAAATCTGAAAGTGATTTTTTTTAAAATAAAGCTTTATGCAGGGACAGGAAGCAATTAGTGGTGGGGCTTTATTTTTAGACGATGAGATGGGTGGGGGAAGGGTATGAGGAGAAATTGCCTTCTGCAGTGTCAGATGAGTTGAGTGAGTTATAGGAAATGATAGCTCAGCCAGCAACTTGGTGCTTGCCAGTGAGTCAGCCGTGACTTCATCCTTACCCTCAATGCTGGAATCACAGATGTGAGAGACACCCTTCCTGGTGAGGGCCCCTCCCTGTCCTGCTGTCTGGATTATCAAGGTTCTGCCTGCATGATGTGAACCTTTCAGTTACCTGTCATGGTAGAGAAAGATTCACAGAACTGTCTGCCTCTTATTTTCCCACAGATATTTCTAATTTCTTTAAGATCAATGGGTACTCCTGATTTTTTCCTCCTGACACCCAGCAGAAACACCCAGTGACTTTCCATCCAGAGGATGAACTTTGGAATTGATATCATAGCAGAATGTTTTTCTTACAGCAATATTTCCATGTGTTTATACTACTTCAACTTTCCAGGATCTGTATAAATGGTGAAACATGGAAGCATGCTGGAAAAGTGAGACAGGAAGACTCTGCTTTAGGAGAAGTCATACATTAAAAGAGGTTACCTTGTCATTATTGAAAATATGTGCATGTGACAAGAAGACTAGAACCAAATCATTACAGTTGTTGTGTTGGGATTTTCAGATTGACAGTAATTGTTTTTTCACCTTCTTTTCTAGGTTTGATAAATAAGCTCAAGTTGTGAAAATTATTCTAAAAATAATCCCTTTGTACTTTAAAGTAACTTAAAATAACTCTCTGTTTGTGGAGGGGAAATGGCCAAATAGATTTAATATTTTAGGACATCTTTTTCCCAGACTCTGGTCGGATTCTTAGGTCAAGGTCATGTGCATGGTGTTCAATAGGGAATGGGTGAGGAGGACTACCTTTGCTCAGAATTTATGGGAGCCAGACATTTACTTCCTTTTCACCCAGTGGATAAGGTGGTATTATCCCCATATTATAAATAAAGAAATGAATGCTCAGAGAAACAGAAGAAGCTTCCTTAGGTCAATCAGCTAGCAATTATGGAGTTCCAACCAAGCCCAAGTCAGACTACTTCCAACATCCACACTCTTTCGACTCAAGTACAAAACGATACAGCCACAGATCCCACTCCACCATGCTTTTAAATTTTTTTTTAAATTTTTAAAAAATTTTTTTTTTTTTTAAAGATTTTGTTTATTTATTTTCCACCATGCTTTTAACAGGGCATTTTCGATGTGTTAACTTTCGGCTGGATTAATCCTCCATTAAGAAAAAAATGTACTTCAAGGTTGTTCTCTCTTTTGCAAACCAAGGATTCTAAAACTCACATATACTTGCCTTCTACTTTAGTTAGAAAGACAAACATTGAGAGCATTGCATAGCTTACATGCCTGTGCCTCTGTATGTTTGACATGAAGAAAACAAAAGAGGCATAGTAAGTACCCAGTTTAGTGGTTGGACTCACCCAGAATTTGAAGTGATTCTCATGATCTCTCCTAACATTCTTAGGTAGATGAGAATGGAGATAAAGCTAACTGCTATACTGTTCGGTATAGTAGCTGTAGGTGATCATTGTGGCCGGGATGGGGTAGTACTGTTGCAAAGCAGAGCATTTGCAGTTTCGAAAAAGCCATCCCGTTGGCCCAGCAGAGCCCTAATTTTCTTTTTTCATAAATTAATAACAGCTAAAGATTAAAAAAATTTTTTTGATGGGTAATATGCAATTAATGCCATGGGCTTTGTTGAGATGCTGCCATACAATATATTGCATATTGTAAATGTACAGTTTGGTAAAATGTAACATATGCATACACCTGTGAAACATCGCTTCAATAAAGATAATGAATATATTCATTAGCCCAAAAGATTTTTTGTAATACTATATTTTTGAAGGAAAAAAAAACAACAGTCACTTCGTTTCCTTATTTAATTTGATGAAAAGTGAGCAGACAGAGACTCAGGTGATGTAAGTCTATACCCTGATTGTGCTCGAAAGAGTCCCTTGAAATTCAGTGAGTCCCTTAATTGTTCCAGCCCATGGTTTTCTCATCTTAAAAATGAGGGGGTCGGACTAGATGGTCCCTAAGGCCCCCTATGGTTCTAAAGTTCAATAAAGCTAAGAGGACAGGCATGTTAAGGGTATTGGTTTGTGTCCAAATGGTTTTATGTAAAAAAGGAGACTTCCCCAGTGGTCTGGTGTCAGCTGTGCTGCTTTAATCCTGTCCTGCTTAATTGATAGATCGTGAAATCATTTCATTTCTTTTCATTCTCCTTTCACCCTGACTCAATGTCATTCATGTCCTTGTTTCCATGTTGGTCTTAGTACGCTAAGGGAACTGCTTACAAATTTAGGGCTAAGGCTTGAGTAATGCTGGAAGTTTGGCATTTGGCAATGCCTTTAGCTAGGATCTGATGAGGGTGACGGGACCATCAGCTCCCTAGATATTTGTGAGACAGCTTGGGCATTTTATGGGAGGGGTTGCAGAGACAAGCTGTACTGGGTGTATTTCAGGCTGGGGGAAGGGAAGCAGATTGGAGTATAATTAAAATTCTAATCCCAACTTAGCCCATCTTCGTGCCAAGTCAGCAGCCAGCATTTCCGTTTGTGGTTCTGGTGATCTTGCTGGGATGACATACACAGTTACCTCAAAAACTCTTGCAAATGTGCCTACAACTTCGTTATGCTCACCAGATGCTTCGATCAGGCCTGGCACGTTGCCATCTTCAGCCTGTGTTTTCAGAGATGCCTCACCCCCCGCTGCCAGGGCTCCCGACGGGGGCAGGGCCCTGGAGAGAGTTCGTGGTGAAAATTGAACTGATTACAGATGAGCAAGTTGCATCACATGAGAGACACCTTTCCAAATTGTTTCTGCTCTCCAGGTAGCTGAGTGGGATTTCTGAGGAGGGGCAGCTCCAACTTCATCTTGGCCCACCATGAGGTTCTTCCTGCCTTGTGCTTACATGCTTCTCCTGATGATTTCCCGGCTAAGGGCCGTCAGCTTTCCCGAAGATGACGAACCCCTCAATACTGTTGATTATCACTGTAAGTAATCTAAAGAACATTTTCTTTTCTGAGAAGGGAGCTGTTTTTGGTTTTGATCCTCTAAATGCATTTGTTTTTAGAAAGAGAGTTTTATATGTCTTAAAACTGTTTTTGCATATTAATGGATCTAGAGTCATTTCTTAGTGTTTGGAGCAAATGGGACAGCTCTGTTGGTTGCTTTCCTAAAGCAACCCATGTATAGGTTTATATATTTTCTGTTAAAAGAAAAAGACCATTTGCTAACATTCACCATCTTTCATTCATTTATATTCAAGACCATAAGAGAGGAATTTAGTTAAAACCCTTCTACAACTAGTATATACAGCTAATCAATGCTGTATATTGATTCTTCAGCTCCATAATCCTGACTGATGGTTTAGCCCATTTTTACTTGCAGATTCAAGGCAATATCCGGTTTTTAGAGGACGCCCTTCAGGCAATGAATCCCAGCACAGGCTGGACTTTCAGCTGATGTTGAAAATTCGAGACACACTTTATATTGCTGGCAGGTAACTTTCCTCTCGTTGGTTTATTAGATTAAAATTCTTTTCTCTTGTGGTGCTTGCATTAATGTGTCTAGTTCATGAAAAACTAATAGGTGATTGTGATCAAAAATTGCAAGTAGCCAAAAATATTCACTGAGAAGAGTCAGTGTTGTGTACCAGGAACAAAATACAGGGCTAAAGCCTTCAGTGGTGCTATTTTATTACTGCTATCAAGAAATCATACACCATTTTTTATTCCTAAAGCAGCAGGGGGGAAAAATCTTCCTTTATTCTTTTTTAACTTGGAATTATTCAAGCAAATATTAGAAGTATGCCTATGCTAATACCAGTAGCTGTTTGACCCATGCCTGAAGAGAAGAGCTTTCTTTGCTCCCTAACCACGGTGATATATAAAAGCATCTCACTAATGAAAAAGTCCTCTTTGTTGACTTTGTTGGAGACAGAGAAAATCCAAATGATCTCCAAAATACAATAAAGGCAGATCTGTAAAAAATAAAACAAGAAGCAGCAGCTTAACATTTTTATGCATTCACATGATTTGACTTACTGCCTTGTTTCCAACAGGGATCAAGTTTATACAGTAAACTTAAATGAAATCCCCAAAACAGAAGTAATACCGAGCAAGGTGAGCAAGTGAAATTTATTTGCATTCCCTCAGAACTTGGTTAACGTCTCCCTCCCCTCCCCAAATTTTTGGTTCAAATACGAACTTTGGTTTTGCTTGATTAATACAGAAACTGACATGGCGGTCAAGACAACAGGACCGAGAAAACTGTGCTATGAAAGGCAAACATAAAGTAAGTAGAACAGACGAGTCATCTGCCAGAGTGAGCCTTTAGGTGGGCTTTATCTCACAATGTCAGCGTATGGAATGTCTAACAGTAACTTAATTATTACTTTCTTTAGGATGAATGCCACAACTTTATTAAAGTATTTGTTCCAAGAAATGACGAGATGGTTTTTGTCTGTGGTACCAATGCATTTAATCCCATGTGTAGATACTATAGGGTGAGTATATTTCATATGGTGTGCTTTTTTTATCAACTTTTTTTTCCTCCCGCACTGTCATGCTGTTAGAGTTGAATCCTCTCTGCTATAACCCATTTATCTCTAATGCTATGGAAGAATAAAGACAAAATTCTTCAAATAGAATTTCAGTACAAATAAAGCAGTATTGCCTTCAAACAGGTACATTGAACAGATGTGACACCAGCTATTTATTTTTCTTTTATAGTTGAATACCTTAGAGTATGACGGGGAGGAAATTAGTGGCCTGGCAAGATGCCCATTCGATGCCAGACAAACCAATGTTGCCCTTTTTGCTGGTAAGATCCTTTAGTGTAATGAATATAAGCGATTAATGACATTGAAAGTAAAAGGGAATTGAAAGGAAGAGAAAAGCTCATAACTGTGGTAGCTCCCTTAATAGAGGTGTTTTTACAGTGTAGGAGCTAGGGAAAAAATTTCCAAAAAAGAGGATTTTAAAGTGAGCGTACGATGAGTATTCTGACACTTGGCCCTGTTTTTAACTAGGTCAATGACCCTGAATAAGTTGCTTAACTTTTTGATACTCAGATCCTTAACCTGCAAAATGAGGTGGGGATGCCATGGGGCAACCTGTCCCAGGTTGACCATCAGCATCTGGGTCTAGGTGTATTTGTGTATATAGGGATGACAGGTGCCAGAACTCCAAAAGGTATAACACAATGCATAGGATAACACACTACAGGATAATTATGATTATTTTACCCCAATTATAATTCTGGTTTCAGATGGGAAGCTATATTCTGCCACAGTGGCTGACTTCCTGGCCAGCGATGCCGTGATTTACCGAAGCATGGGTGATGGATCTGCCCTTCGTACAATAAAATATGACTCCAAGTGGATAAAAGGTACTCTTGAAAAGCAGCGTTGTGGGATTGCCAAGGGTAGTGGAATGGCCAAGGGGGAACAGGAGCCAAGGCATCAGGAAACTCAGCGCATGACTTTATATTGTTTATTTAGAGCAAGGACAAGTTGCTTTGGTTGTAAGCAGGAGCGTTGACAAGGAAAGAGGAAATTAGCAGCCATGTCAGGAAAATAGATTCATCTATGAGTTTATCCTGGTTGACTTCAAAAAAGAAAGACCTCATTTCTGCTGCCAGTTTGCCTACCTCTGAATACACATAACGTTCCTCGTCCACTCCTATCTACCATCCTACAAATTAACACTGAGAATCGATCAGTTCATCTCTGCAGAGACATTTCTTTCTTTGGCGTCTAGATACCAAGATTTTTTATTCTCGGTGTAAGAAGTTCTCTTCTCTAGTTAAAGAGGTTAATGAATAAATCTGTTGAAACAGAGACCTTTGCTGTAGTTCAGTTCCCCTAGGCTTTTTACAGTCCATTAGCTGACATGAAAAACTGTGGGTTCCTTGAAGCTTCAACACACCCATATTCGGACTCCTTGAGCATGTTGGTGTATTGGAGTTCTCACTGGCTTGTAGATGTGCCACATCCGTCAGTCATGCTAGCAGCCGGGGTCTTGTGCTAATTGAATTATCCTTTAGGAACCAGTTTGTTTTCGATTTTTCTTTCAGAGCCACATTTTCTTCATGCCATAGAATATGGAAACTATGTCTATTTCTTCTTTCGAGAAATTGCGGTAGAACATAATAATTTAGGCAAGGCAAGTATATGCACTTGACTTGAATTCTGGACTTGTACTGCATGGAATCGAGCCCGCTTTGGTAGAGTTATGCTCTTTGCGTGTTTTCTAGCACTCGGTGCATTCGGGGCCGAGTGCAGAGAAGTGAATTGCTTATCATGAGAATAATTGCTGGAAAACACCTGAACAATGGCCAGAGTGAGAAGAGCAGCCTTGGGCCTGGAGAAGGTTTCCTTTTTTTCTGTCACTACAGAGTGTTCTACAGACGCCCTTGAGCTATGGATGCTTCCTTAACACTTTAGAAATCTGTTGAATGTTCATTCTTTCTCAGCATCAAAAGGCAGGATGGAAAGTAGAGCCCTTATTCAATTTTGAGTGCTTCAGGAAAAGCCCGTATAATTTTAAAGCAAAGAGCCTCGTTTTGCCAAGTTTAAGGATGGCACATGGCATTAACGATAGAAGCCACAGAGTGGGAGACAAACTGTGGAGATAGTTTGCATTCCCCTAACCAGTCCGACAGCTCCCTTCTTGGGGAGCTCGTCTGGCAGAACAGGAAAATGACCCTCTTCTCTCCCAGGTAAATCTAGTTTACATTCTTACCAGACAAATCCCTAGAGAGAAGATTGCTAGATTCTTTTTTTTTTTTTTAATTTTATTTATTTATTTGACAGACAGAGATCACAAGTAGGCAGAGAGGCAGGCAGAGAGAGAGGAAGGGAAGCAGGCTCCCCAAGGAGCAGAGAGCCCGATGCGGGGCTCGATCCCAGGACCCTGGGATCATGACCTGAGCCGAAGGCAGACACTTCAACCCACCGAGCCCCCCAGGCGCCCCTGCTAGATTCTTTTGAGCTAGTCATATCTTTAGCACTTTTTTGGTCCCTCCCTTAAATAATAGCTTTTCGTTTCCATTCCCCCTCCCTGCACATAACCCTGTGGCTTTGCTTTCCACCCCTGGGCAGGCCGTGTATTCCCGTGTGGCCCGCATCTGTAAAAATGACATGGGTGGCTCCCAGCGGGTCCTGGAGAAACACTGGACCTCGTTTCTGAAGGCTCGGCTCAACTGCTCTGTCCCTGGAGATTCCTTTTTCTACTTCGATGTTCTGCAGTCCATTACCGACATCATACAAATCAATGGCATCCCCACTGTGGTCGGGGTGTTCACCACACAGCTCAACAGGTGAGAACAGAGCCCTGGCGCTTCTCGAGCTGTTCTGTGCTTGCTTCTGGGACCCAGGAGCGGGCCTCCTTTGCCTGATGCTTTCCCTGATGCTGTCCCCCTTTGCAGCATTCCTGGGTCTGCCGTGTGTGCATTTAGCATGGATGACATTGAAAAAGTATTCAGAGGACGGTTTAAAGAACAGAAAACCCCAGATTCTGTGTGGACAGCAGTCCCTGAAGACAAAGTACCAAAACCAAGGTAAAGAAAAAAAAAAAGCAGAAAGTGATTTTTGTTTTTAACAAAACCCTCTGGTCCCTGGAAGCATCCATCCTCAGAGAGCGGGGGGCCAACCTCCCGTGCCAGGAAGGGGTCCCTGGTGGGGGGCAGGGGCACTGCAGACCCAGCCAGTCTACAGAACCCCGCAGGGGTGAATGTGGAGAGCCTACTGAGTGCAGGGAGAGAGCCCTACGCCTCTGGTTTTGCTCATTCTCCTTTCTTACTTGGCCTCTTCTTTCAGAATGGACACTTACCCTTAGATACAGTTTGTGAGGGGAAAAAACACACTGTTTTCCTTTCAGGCCTGGCTGTTGTGCAAAGCATGGCCTTGCCGAAGCTTATAAAACCTCCATCGATTTCCCTGATGAGACCCTGGCGTTCATCAAATCCCACCCGCTGATGGACTCTGCCGTCCCACCCATAGCTGACGAGCCCTGGTTCACCAAGACCCGGATCAGGTAAGACTGCTGGGACCAGCAGCCTGCTCCCCTCTAACACCTCCTCTCCCTGTCGGCCTCCCCCTCTGACTTGGCCTTCCTCCCCCCACAGGTACAGACTGACGGCCATCGCTGTGGACCACACTGCTGGGCCCCACCAGAACTACACAGTCATCTTCGTTGGCTCTGAAGCTGGCGTGGTGCTTAAAGTTTTGGCAAAGACCAGTCCTTTCTCTTTGAATGACAGCGTGTTACTGGAAGAGATTGAAGCGTACAACCACGCAAAGTAGGTATATTTTACGAGAAGGCTTTTCAGCTGGACTCAAAACTTTCTGGTGTGTATTTCATCAAGCAGTTTCCTTTGAGCCCCAGAAATTAGCAGTGGTTTGGCATATTTGTGTTTTGGGTTTGTTTTTTTTTTTCCTTAGTGAAATAAATCCTGAGTTTGTTTTTTTTTCCCGAGTCCACTAGGGCTAGGATGGTGGGCAGTAGATGAGTTTAAAAATCATTTGGCCCTCGTTTCTCACCTTTGGGCAATGAGAACGTGTTAGCACCCACCCCTGATACCCTGCAGGCTTATTTTCAGCTGCTGCCTGCAGCGGACAATTGCTTCCAAGTATGCATAAGCACAAGCTCGCAATACAATTCTTCCAGCCACTGACATAAAAGATAACTGGACCATTAAAACAAACAAGAATGGAGCAAAGGAGACTAAAGAGAGATGAGAAACATGTAGCACAGCAAGATTGAAGTGCACTGAAACACTGTCCTTTTTCTTCTCTGTGGTCTAAAGTGGTCTTCATAAACACAGTTCCCTTTGTCACCAGAACAAGAAAGCAATCTTTAAAAAAAAAAACAACTCTTTGTCCAACCTGAAGTTGAAACAATCGTGCAGAGCAGCAGAAGACCAAACATAGAATTATTACTTCCCAAACTATGTACTTCACTGGTTTGCTACTGAGAATCTCCCTCAGGATCTCCCAGCTCTTAGTAATTGCAAAACCAAACCCCACTTGCCTTGTAAATTTCATGTAGCTTTCGACTTCCTAAACATGTGGCCTCAAAATGTATCCCCAAATACAGGTGTAATGCTGAGAATGAGGAGGACAGAAAGGTCATCTCATTACAGTTGGATAAAGACCATCACGCTGTGTATGTGGCATTCTCCAGCTGCGTGATTCGCCTCCCCCTCAGTCGTTGTGAGCGTTATGGATCCTGCAAAAAGTAAGCTGACGTTTCTTTCCTTACCGTGGGTCTTGCAGCACCGTGAACTTTGATGATGAGATAATCCAAGCTCTGTTCTGTTTGGTTTTATACAGGTCTTGTGTTGCATCTCGGGACCCATATTGTGGCTGGTTAAGCCAGGGAGCCTGTGGCAGAGTGACCCCAGGGATGCTGTAAGTATGACCTGTCACATCAGCCAGGACCTTCTGAGAGCTGCCTCTGTCCTCTCTGGGTCTCTAAAGCTAGACATTTTAAGAAAGATGCCAGTAGTACTACTTTTGTTCTTTTCTTCCTCTCTTTTCTTTTTTTGATGTGGGAGAAATAAAAAAAGAAAAGAGAAGAGAAAAGAAAAAAGAAAAGAAAAGAAAAAGAAAGAAAAGAAAGGAAAAAAAAAATCTGGGGCTGTAATAAGGAAGGGAGATTGTAGACAGGATAATACCTGAGGGAAATGGGTGGAGAGAATAAACAATTCTCTCTCCTCTCTTAAACATTCTAGTGGCCAGATGTTGAATAGAAGAAATACTCATTTTAGCAAGCTGTGTTGAAATGTCCATTTTTTTTCCTCTCTGCCCATTTTACTAATCGGTCTGTGTTCTTGGTTCTGCTCTGGTTGTCACTTGTGTCCCTATGAAGGCTGTTAACTGAAGACTTCTTTGCTTTCCATAACCACAGCGCTGGAGGATATGAACAAGACACAGAATACGGCAACACGGCCCACCTAGGGGACTGCCATGGTAAGCCCAGATCTTCCTTCCCCTTCTGGCAATTCTTTTTGACCACATTTGCACGTGAACATTATTTTACAATCAGCCTTTTAATGACTCAGGACACATACCACCTAGCATTTAACTTAAACTTCGCAAAAGCTGAGCTGTTTGGTCATGGGGATGTGTTAGAGAAGAATCTTACTTTTTTTTTTTTTTCCTTCACCATTTACAATTTTGTAGAAAATCTAGAGAAAGGTAGTCTAACCAGTAGGTTAATCTTTTAATTTGTAGTCTTTTCTTTTGACTTTTTTAGTTAATTGGAATTCATAAATTTTTGCTTTCTTTTGGTTACTTTTTACTGATTACTTGTTCCTTTAATTCTTTTAGAAATTTTGCCTACTGCAACTACACCAGATTACAAAATATTTGGCGGTCCAACATCTGGTTAGTTTTTTTTAATTTTTTTGATAATTAACAACCTTTTCTTCCTTCAGTTCAGCATTTTCAGCCCCTTTTCCCCTCCTTTTGCGCAGTTTGGCAGCCTTTCACGTTTCTGCTTTGACTCATAATCCCACCGATGGTACTGAAAGACTTTTTCTTACTCAGCACTCCACCCCTGTGTAGCATGTTAACAGTTCATCATTGACCGAGGCACATCCCGTAAGAAAAATCAAATGGATTCACCTAGACCGCATTCCAGCTGCACGCCCGCCCACCCAAGCTTCTCTTTTCTCTCCCCTCTCCGTGCATTGTGGATGCTCCCTCTGGCATCTCTACTGAATGGATGGCAGACTTTCATTATTTCCCTCTTCTCTCCTCACCTTTCCTAAGACCTAGTAAACAAATACACATTTCCCCAAAATGTGTATTTATACATTTTTGACATCTTTTTCTTTGGTTTGTGGTGAGCCCGTGGATCTTTGAATGTTGTGGTCTCAGTGGTGTGCAAAAGGTTCCCGTTGAATGAAGCTGGTATCTGATGTATGAGGGTGGTTCGGTGGGCTCTCCGTGCCTGTCAGTATCTGTTTTGGAGTCTTCGTCTGCGACCGTTGCACCGGTCTGAATGGGGGTCTCTGGAATTTTAACCTAAAACCGTATGCTTACATTCCGAGGGGACATCTACTCTGTAGAAATCAGCAACACACATGCTAAGAGGTTAAGTTACTTCGGTCCTCCTGCTGCTTCTAAAGCTCACAGCAGTCTCATTCCTCAGAAGGGAGAAGAGGATAGCAGATCTTATGTAGCAGACCATCCTTATTCAGCTTATAAATGCCATTTCTTTTGCATGAGTTGCTGCTAATTCTTTGGAAGAAATTCCCCGAGCGTGTTGAAAGGCACACGCGAGGTCCCTCCCTGCTTTGGTGCTCCCCCGTGGATGGTGCAAGGCCTCGGGGCCCAGATGGACGGGAGGTCCGAGACAGAGCCCAACAGCCTGCTCTAGCGGGTGGAAAATCCAGATCCAGATCACGTGGACTTCACCAGGTGTTTTCCTGCTGAAGTTACCCAGTAGGTTCCCCAGTGAAGGATATGCAGTCTCCAAATGTTCAGGAAAATGCTTTTAGACATATGCACAAAAAGAAAGGAACTGATGCCATCTCACATGAAAATGAGAGAGTAGCCATTCATCTTTGGGATGTGTATGACCTTTTCCACGAGGGTCATTAATTGCTGTAGGGGCTTTGGTAGGAGCATTTTCAGTGTGTCTAGTTTTGAAATCTGCTTCATTTGTCTTTATGGTTAATTTTTAGTTTTTCTTTTTCCCTTGCAAGAAAGAGGTTGGGTATAGTCTCTTCGAATGTGTTTTTTATGAAATCCTAGAACAGGCTTTCTCGTAAAATTGAATGAAATGTCACTTAAAAATGCAACAGACCAGTGGTCAGGGAAATCTGTCAGCATTACCCACATTAATAAAAATCTGTTTGCCACCACAGACATGGAGGTATCTTCATCATCTGTTACCACAATGGCAAGTATCCCAGAAATTACACCTAAAGTGATTGATCCCTGGAGACCTAAACTGACGAGCTCCCGGAAATTTGTAGTTCAAGATGACCCAAACACTTCTGATTTTACTGATCCTTTATCAGGTATCCCAAAGGGTAAGGCCTCACCAGGGCACTCATCTCTTGCTGAGTGGAAACCTGATTCCTGATCTCTCTGAGGAGCTGGTGGACACAGGGTTTCCCGGGGGGTGGAGTGACACAGCTCTGCTGTTGTTCACACCTCCTACCTGGACTACCCTCACTCCGGTTTCTGTGCTTGTATGGAGTGGGCGCCTTCCTCGACCAAAGAGATGGAAAGCCGTGAACGAAAGGGGTGATGAGATAGCCGCTCAGTCTAGTCTATGTTGGTTTCTACCCAAAAATGCTGAGAGTCTGCTCAATGTCAGAGAATTTCCAGGACCACCCCAACAACATCAAAACACCAAACTCATTTTAGCAAATATCCTGGTATCTGATGTTTTGTTTAATAGCCTTCTCCAGCCTTGTGTTTCGCTTCGATTCCAAATGCAATATGAAAAGGATACACAAGGCGCTAGTGAGTTGCTTGAATGTCACAAGCAATGAAACATGACAGAGCACTTGTCCATAACTATCACTTTCAGCCCTTAATAGGAGCAGTTAGAAAACAGCTGCCTGTTGAGTTGGCTTATTAGACATATCACTCTGGGAGAAAAACAACCTCTTCTTTGGTGCTTAGTAAACTGTGGTATCAGGTTTCCAATCAGTTTTTATGCCAGTACTTTGTCATTTATGATTTACGTCTGTTGATTTGGGTTTTATATGTTTTCATTGTAAACAGTTTTATGATCATTCTTTCTGTTTTGTTTCCTTTAGTAATATCATTTCTTTCTACTTTTCTTTTTTGTTCTCTCCCAGTGCCACTGAATTCCATAATCCTGAACATTGATTAAAAGCAACTAATGTTCAAAGGCCTTAGTACTAACCTAAAGCAACAGAATCCTCAAAATTACTCTGACTTAACCTTATCCTGGGATAGCTATGCTTATAGCATGTAACAGACTTGGATACCTCTTAAACTAACATCTCTTAGATTGACTGTTAGATGTCTGTGGTCGCATTAAAAATCCCAATAATTACAAACTAATCCACTCTTCTTGTAGTCTAACTTAAATATTTCTTAAATATCTCAAGATGATGGGATAATATACTTAACTACTACATATTATACTTCTTTAGACTGTCTGGATTTCTTTCACAGAAAGCAATTCAAGAGTAATTCACTCCAAGATGGAATGAAAAAAAAAAAAAAAATCAAAGCAAACACAAAAGTTCATATTTGTAGTTAGCGATGACCAAGCAGGCGCTTTTCGTTTGTGAATCAATTGTGTGTCTTTATTCTAGTTAAGATAGCATATTTTAGCATAATGTACAGTTATGCCAATCCATACATTTTGCTAATTCTAGCAGTTGCCCTGTAATCCCAACTTATGAATTAGGAGAAAATCATGAGACAAAAGCTTTCTAAATTGACCATTTAGAAATTATGTACTTTCTAACTCTAAGTTTTAGGACCCCCAAATCCTAAAACTTTGAATGTTAGAGAACAACTACTTAGAAGGGATTTTGGGGGGAAAAAGACACACACGGATGGGTGGGAGATCAGAGTTACCCTGGCATCTGCGGCAATCAAGTATGTCTCTGGGGATCTGATCATGACTCAAGAAAAATATACAGGTGGAATTTTAGAGTCTCCCTGACCCTCCAGGCTAAGCATATGGACCACGTGAAGGTAGTATTGGCTCAATGGAAGCCATTTGCTGGCTAATATTGTTTGAAAGAAGCACCTCACTCAGACTCTTTTCCTGCATGTCTGTTGCAGGTGTGAGATGGGAGGTCCAGTCGGGAGAGTCGAACCAGATGGTCCACATGAATGTCCTCATCACCTGTGTCTTTGCCGCCTTTGTTTTGGGTGCATTCATTGCAGGTGTGGCAGTATACTGCTATCGTGACCTGTTTGTTCGGAAAAACAGAAAGATCCATAAAGATGCAGAATCTGCCCAGTCGTGCACAGACTCCAGCGGAAGTTTTGCCAAACTGAATGGTCTCTTTGACAGTCCAGTCAAGGAATATCAACAGAATATCGATTCTCCCAAATTGTACAGTAACCTGCTGACCAGTCGGAAAGAGCTGCCACCCAACGGAGACACTAAATCCATGGTGATGGACCATCGGGGCCAACCTCCCGAACTGGCTGCTCTCCCCACGCCTGAGTCTACACCTGTGCTTCACCAGAAGACCCTGCAGTCCATGAAGAGCCACTCAGACAAGGCCCATGGCCATGGGGCTTCAAGGAAGGAAACCCCACAGTTTTTCCCTTCTAGCCCACCACCCCATTCCCCATTAAGTCACGGGCATATCCCCAGTGCCATTGTTCTTCCTAATGCTACTCATGACTACAACACATCTTTCTCAAACTCCAATGCTCACAAAGCTGAAAAGAAGCTTCAAAACATTGACCACCCACTCACAAAGTCATCCAGTAAAAGAGATCACCGGCGTTCTGTGGATTCCAGAAATACCCTCAACGATCTTCTGAAGCATCTAAATGACCCAAACAGCAACCCCAAAGCCATCATGGGAGATATCCAGATGGCCCACCAGACCCTAATGCTGGATCCTGTGGGACCTATGTCTGAGGTCCCACCCAAGGTCCCTAACCGGGAGGCATCACTATACTCTCCTCCTTCAACTCTCCCCAGAAATAGCCCAACCAAGCGAGTGGATGTCCCCACCACTCCCGGAGTCCCAATGACGTCTCTGGAAAGACAAAGGGGTTATCACAAAAATTCTTCCCAGAGGCACTCTATATCTGCAATGCCTAAAAACTTAAACTCACCAAACGGTGTTTTGTTATCTAGACAGCCTAGTATGAACCGTGGGGGGTACATGCCCACCCCCACTGGGGCAAAGGTGGACTATATTCAGGGAACACCAGTGAGTGTTCATCTGCAGCCTTCCCTCTCCAGACAGAGCAGCTATACCAGTAATGGCACCCTTCCTAGGACGGGACTAAAGAGGACACCGTCCTTAAAACCTGATGTGCCACCAAAGCCTTCATTTGTTCCTCAAACCACATCTGTCAGACCACTGAACAAATACACTTACTAGGCCTCAAGTGTGCTATTTTCTGTGTGGCTTTATCCTGTCCGTGTTGTCGAGAGGATGATGTTGTAAGGGTACCTTAAGATAAGAGACTCCCTTGTATTTTAAGAGAACCGAGTGGCCAAAGAAACTCTTTCTAACTTTGGCAACATCAGAACTTGCCACATGTAGCTACTACAGCAAAGCTTCTGTGTACTTGCCCGAAAACAAAGGAAGGTGCTGGTCATTCCATTTCTTTCGTTTGAAGCTAAAGAGATGTGCAGCTCCCGGGGGCTGCCTTACCAGTATAGAGAGCTGATACAGTACTCAGAAGAATCTGTGAGCAAATACTTGAAAATGGGTTCAACTTAGACTACCATTATGTGTGGTCTTCCCATTAAATGTGAACATTTTAATTGTATGCATTCACCTTGCCTCTTGCACAAATGTCAAAAAACAATGGTAATGTCTCAAAGAAATGAACTTGTAGATTACCAAACGATTTGCTAAAAATTCAGTCTTTGACCCAAACTGTAGCATTTTTTTCAAGTGTGGCATTTTTTTTCATGCCACCAATGAACTGTAGTACGTGTGTGTGTGTGTGTGTGTGTGTGTGTGTGCATATGCGTGCGTGTCTGTGTGCGCGCGTGTGTGTGTTGAGCGTGTGTGTGTTCTGTACCCACTAGGATTTGTTTTGGTGCCCATTGCATCTTTTTGTGCTGTGGACTTGTTTACATTGAGCATGACTGAACAAGAGACAGTAACTTCTTCCCACAGCAGTCCATTGGGTTCAGCTTTGAGAAAAGAAATAAAATCAAGGTTGATCTGACCATCAAAATGATTAACTCGACTCACATGGTCCCCAATGCCAGAATGTAAGAGTTCTAAGTAATTTTGTGCTGCTATTCATTAAAACTTCTATTACAGTCTTGCCAGCTTAAGGAGATAGAGATGTTAAGAGGTATCCTTGATTTATCCACCAGTATTCAGTAGAACAATTTACCTGTCCACTGTGAATCCAAGCCTGACTCACTGTATTTAACCTTGAACACACTAATAAGGTTTTATTTTGATGTTGTTTGGTTTCTCCCATGTAGTACAATTTCTCTTCCTTTAACTCCTCCTACCCCCAAGATAAAAGAACAAAACAAAGCAGAAGACAAAAGAAGGAAATGTGAAAGGAATTCTAATTGGCCTAACAGAGAGAGTCTCTGAAAACCGAAAGTGGTGCAATCATGTTGTCTCTGTTGTGTCATACGAGAATTTTCTTCTAAGTCATGCAGGTAATGACAATAGGCTGTAAATATTACATGTGAGTTTACCTGAATCTGTGCATTTTGTGCCTTATTCACGAGAATGATAGAAGTACTAAAATATGTCAAGTGTTTCCAGTATAGCACATCATTTACCCAGTGCCAGTTGTAAATGTTTTTCAACCAGCACCTGAAAAGACTTTTAAAAAATCATAAAAACAACCTAGAACAATTAGTTGTCCAGCAGTCCACCCAAATAGCAGCATTACATCCTTTGCCATGATAAACATTCCACTCCCGCTTTCCTAAGGATGAAACGGTGATAATGTGAAGGCAAATGAGGTTTCTCGGGTAATGTGACACCTGCGGGAACCGTAGAGTCATTTATTCGTAGTTTTGCAGAAGCCACTTAGAGTTGATGATGTGTAACCCCGATGACTGTCTCAGTTAATATGCTGCACACCACACCGTGGTTTATTGAACCTAATCTAGAAAGTATCAAGGCAGAGGAATGCTCCTGACTTAGTCAGACAAGTGAGTCCAACTGATTTCTTGCGATAACACTGACGATCTGTATCACTTGGGGGAGGATGGGTTGCAGAAGACCAGAGCGTTTTTATACAGATTGTAGAATACTGATACAGTTATTCTTTTCCTTTGAGAATATCATTTTGTAAAGAACGTGATTCCCCGAGATCTCTGGAAACTCAAAAACTAGAAAGAACTTCTGTTCTTGAGACACGTCAGCTTTGCAACTAAAATATTACAGATTAATAATAAATTAAACCAACCAATGATAAACACTACTCAGTCCACCGCCAACAAACGTGTTTGAATTCACCTTACCAATATTAATCCCAGCGTGCGGAAAACGGAACAGTAACTCTATGTGAACCCGGATAACATTTTGTAACATTGTGCTGCCTTGTAGTTTGTAATGTGAGTTCTATCAGTATTTATGTTGAAATTTCTAACATAAAATCTAGTCTCTATCCTGTTAATTTAATTTTTAAATGCTTTATCCATTTGTGCAAAGGTAAACACAGATTGTATCTTTTTTAATGGTACGGCATAAAAAGTAACCCTAAAGTGAAGTGGCTCTATACTGTTTTATAGAGTACTTTAACATGTATAGATATCTTGTAAACTTGTATTGTGGATGTGTAAATAATATGTACTTTGGGTTTTTAACACCGCATGTAAAGTCAAAATAAAATATACAAATCATTATATCCTGCCTCTTGATATTGAAGAGGTTTATGACTTGCCATGTTTTAAAAACTATTTTATGGTCAATCAACACCACTGAGAGTTTCTTTTAAAATGTACCAGAATATTCTTATCGGGAATGTCTGCTACGTGGTCATGGTTCTGCCACCGTTCTCTTCTTGCAAAGCCAATACCAATGGGCAGAGCCCCAGAGAAGCTGAAAAACGAGTCAGAAAGCCGGGTGAACTGTCCCTGCACCAGCAGGTAAACGCTTCAGGCAGACGTGCCGGTGACTTGCCTTGTCTTGTCCACACGCCGAGTTTGGCAGGCATTTTTAAAACGCGTGATTTGTATTCCCACATGAAAATTTTGATGTCCTTTTAGTCCAAAATTACAACTGGCAGACCAGGTTCCTGTGAACATTTCTTACTATTTGGTGGACAGCCTTTCTCCATTCCGTTGTTTTAACTGAATAGACCACGTGAAGAGATACCTTCCCCAACTATGGAAATGGAAGAAAAATTACGATCCTGTTTGGTCCTGCCTTCAGCATGGGGTGAGCTGGTGGCTGCAGTCGCTTCCTCTTGTGGGTGTTGATGGTGTCACAGCCCTTCTGAGATCACGGGAGTGTCTGTAGCGATCTCTGTGCCCTTGGTTCCAGCTGCTGCTCCTGCCCCAAGCCCCTCTGTACCTCCTCCCTGGCTCTGTTTTCTCCCAGAACCCCAGCCGCATCTCTGCAGAAGCAGGAGCGCCAGGTTCCTATCTGAGGCCTTGTTCTCTTTCGTGATGTCATCTAATTAGGCTGCTGTATTTCAATATTAGTTCAGTGGTATTCCAGGGTCCTTTTGCATTCCTATCATGGCCTACTGTCATCTAGAGATGCGAGGCGGGTTTGCAGGGATCCATTCATGAAAGGAAAAGATAGGCGGGGGGTGATTTGCCCCTTTTTACAGCTACCAGCCCTATAGCTGGTAGTCAGCAAGGCAGTGCCTGCCGCAGGTCGTGGAGCCTGACTTGGCTCTCGAAACCCTGCCCCAGCATTGTGGAAGTCTGGCTCAGCCTGTAGCCTTCTGCGGTGCTGGAAAAGAGGGTGGAAGGTTTTTTCCCACCGCAGAAGTTGGTTTATAACTCTTAGGGTTCCGACAAAAGAAGGAAGGAACAGACAATAAAGGGAACTCTATCTTCAACCCCGTTTCTTCCTGGGCTTCTTAATCGTTGATTTCTCCTTGCCTATTTCTATTACATCGTTTACTATGTCTTATGGTCATCGTGACAGTTTTCCTGGGTTTAGTGGGTTTTTTTTTCTTCTAAAAAGTGCATCTTTCTTGGGGTGCCTGAGTGGCTCAGTTGGTTAAGCATCTGCCTTTGGCTCAGGTTGTGATCCCAGAGTCTTGAGATAGAGCCCCCTGGGCTCCCTGCTCAGCGGGAAGTCTGTTTTTCCTCTTTCTCTGCCCCTCCCCCTGTTGGTGCTCCCCCCGCATCAAAAAACAAACAAACAAAGTGCATCTTGATCTCTTCTCCCTTTATGACAGGTCTTTGTTGGATTTTTTCAGTCATGGATATCTTTGATAATTTAATGACAATACAGCCTGGGAGCTGAATTTCACTTTCCTTTTCAGGGAATTTACAGACCCCTAAAACCATATCTATGAATCATCAAGATAAATGCTTAGATGCTATTTGAGAGAAGGAGATTAGAGAACTTAGAGCTTTTCATAAGAAAGACATCATAAGGTCACACTCAAAAAATAAATTAACCAGGACAGACCACCTGTACTCTCCTTCCAGAAATCCCATTGATTGGCATTTAGGTTTCTCTGGGAAATGGCAATTTTGAAGCCATGTGGAACACATGAGATGCCCTTGTAGGCTAAGAGGAAAGAGTGTCTCCCATCCAAGATAGTGGACCTTGGGTGGCCTGGGTGCTGGCCAGGTACCAGGAGGACTTGCCTTCCTGCCATCTGAGAGTGGCCATCTTTCTGCCTTCCCCTCCTGGCTTGTCTTCTCCATCCGCTTAGTCAGAGCAGGGCAACAAAAGAGGTGTGCAAAATAGCCCAGGCTCCACATATGGGAACTGGGTTCTAATCCTGAATCCATCACTCAGCAAAGAACTTTGTGGCACTACACTTCTCTGGATTTCAGTTTTCTCATTTTTGAAAAGAGATGGCTCAGCATCCATTTCGTTGACAGTTCTATGGGATCTGTCAACTCTACAATTCCATTACGTATTTTATGAATGCTATGCTTAAATATTACTCTTTCAATAGCTTGGTTTGTAGGCTTTTTATGGGTGTATGAGGCCTGTTTGCTGTTAGATGTGAGATTAGCAATAAAATAAGGCATGATAAACAATACACTTTAAGCCATTCAGCTTGGGTCTATAGTTGATGTTTACCCTTTTAGCATATATAACATGCAAAATACTTAAATCTCTGCCAATGTTGCATTCTTTATCAAATAGATGTGATACCATAAACAAGAAGGAAATGGACCTATAATAAAATCAATCTTTAATTCACAGAGGAATGAGGGAGGTGAGAGGATGGGGTGGAGGGGGGCAGTCGAATCCTGGATATTCACACCATGAATCAATTGGAATTCACACATAAAAGAAAATAGAATATTTCTAGACCCTGGCCCATGATATAATTCTTTCTAAAATTAGGTATTGATTACTGGTTGATAAATCTCTTTGTAACATGCCCTTTGGTTTATCTTAGCTTCTTATGCTGGGTGAAGGAAAGTATGAAAACATGACATTTGTTACATGTGCACTGTTACTTAGTACTCTTTTTCATTTGTGAGATGGACCCACATGATGCTACTGTAAATATGGACTTGAGGCTAGTTAGTGTAGCAGTGAGAGGAAAGATTTGCCAGTGACAAGCAACCCAATCCAATGGAACTTTCCTTGCTTGTGGAGATGTCCCGTATAAGTGCTATCCAATATGGTAGCCACTAGCAGGC